TATATAAATATATATATATATGCGTGTGTCTGTGTACGTATACAAAATATTTACTTTAATATCTTGGATTTTGTAGAATTTTCTAGGTTTGATAAACACAGTATCATATGGATTAGCATTCAAAGTTGGAAAGCCGCAAATAGTACCCATACATGATGATAAGGCAGGTACATATGTTGAAAATCTTGAATACGTTCTTAGTAAAAGTGTGCCAGATTTGGTATTCTGCGTAGTGAGCAATAATCGCAGTGATCGTTATGCAGCTATTAAGAAATTCTGCTGCATAGATAGACCTGTGCCGTCACAGGTTATTTTACAAAAAAATTTGTGTGGTAAAAACGCCATGACTATTGCTACGAAAGTAGCAATACAAATGAATTGTAAATTAGGCGGAGCACCTTGGACTATGGAAAACCCATTAAAAGGATTAATGGTCATAGGATTCGATATATGCCGTGACTCAAACACTAAGGGCAAAGATTTTCGTAAGTATTTTGTAGTATTATATAATTCGATATTTGTATTTTAATATTTTAATGATTGTTGTATTATTTTTTTATGCTTTTTCAAATTTTGTTTAAATTATTTAAATATTTTAATTAGGGATGTATCGGATATTCTAGAAATATATATTCTGTATTATTCGACACTTTTTTTACTATTCGGCGGGATGTCATCAATATCTAGTGATATATTTGGTTGAAATTTTATATTGATACTTTACGTCATTAATGCAGAATTTATTCTTTTGAGCTGAATTTCTTGCACAATTCTTTCCTCTTTCCTCTTTTTCTTTTCATGTTGAGGAGATAAAGAAAATTGTTATCACTATTTTTACCTTGCTGCCCCTTTTTTAGAAGTCTGATATTCGACACGATATCTAGGGAAATATCCAATAAATTGTCTTATCAGATATCCGATCGGATATCTGAAAACAATGTAACGCTAGATATTCGATATCTGGTATTCGGTAATTTTACCATTCGATGCATTCCTAATTTTAATTATAAACTGAAATAAATTATATTATTCTGTGAATTTGTAATTATAGTGTCTATGGTGGCAACTGTGGATCAATCGCTGACAAGATATTTCAGCTCTATTACTTTATTTCACAGTCACGAGGATCTCGGTGACCAACTTTGCGCAAGTGTAAAAAAAGCTATTTTGGCTTATAAAGAAAGAACTAGTGCTTTACCTATACATCTTATAATTTATCGAGATGGTGTTAGCGAAGGTCAAATTAGACAAGTTTACGAAAATGAAGTGCAAAAACTTGAAAAGGCGCTTGAGAAGATGTATTATGGTCCTAATTTTAAGATGATTTTTATTATTGTTACTAAAAAAATTAACGTTCGGTTATTTGATTCAAACGGTCGTAATGGTAATCCACAAACCGGGACTGTAGTTGATGATGTAATCACCGATCCGCTAAGATATGATTTTTTTCTTGTATCGCAACAGGTTAGACAGGGTACAGTTTCACCTACTTCATATAATGTGATTTTTGACAATACCGGATTACAAGCAGAAATGGTTCAAGTTGTTACATATAAATTAACCCACATGTACTACAATTGCTCATCTACTGTTAGAGTGCCAGCGCCCTGTCATTATGCGCACAAATTATCGTTTTTAGTAGGACGATTTTTACATCGGCCTCCAAGTTCACAGCTGGAGAAACAACTATTTTTCTTGTAACAAGAAAACGTTTTTTTTTTTCCATTCAGTATATATATATATATATATATATA